CTAGTGAGGAAGCGCAAGCAATTATAATCGATGCACCTCAGCCACTAACAGAGATGTCTGACGACCAGACATCATGGCCGGTCTGGCGTCATTGTTTAAGACCTCGCTGCCTCAAGGTCATCCACCCCTTGCAACGAGCCGTCCCAGACGCGCCGACCTGAAGCCCCTCGACCGACTTCAGCTCGGACACAATTGCATCCACACAGCGTCGCGGCTACCCATGCGCCACCCCCTGCAACCGCGGCCTTAGTCACTGGGTCACCACCCCTCGGCAAATGCAACACACACTGACTGGACACCACTTGAGCTTGGCCCAAGAGCCTACAAAAGCGACTGCCGCCACTATCTCAGTGACTCTCAGGCATGACTCAACACAAGCCCTGGCTTCGCAAGTAGCCACTGCCGCCTGAGAGGTTCTGTGCACAATAAACCCCTCATTCTGGTGCCTTCCGTCTTCGGCTTCCAGCATGGGGTTTGACTTGATAATTGTAGATCACAAACCACACACACTTTCACCGCATAACCACCCCAGATAGAGCCAATGACACACTTACAGCCCATAGGAGTGGCTAGGGGATGGCCAATCAAACAGCGATGCCTGTTCCGTTTTCATGCCGGTCGACACTGTGGAAAACTGTAGCAACAGTCCTGCGACATGGGGTTCAATTAACCAAGGACCTAGTTCAAGCCGAAGTACAGGCCACTCAGGTACGCGTGTCATGTCTTCCCCTCGAATTCCGGCCTAACCGCTTCAGGATCTCCACGTACTTATTTTTAGAAAGAAATATTATTCTGGACAATTATTCCTGGTTAGGTCATTTAAATCTCGGTGTGGATAGCCAGAAAATGGCGTTAAAAACAATAAGTTTGTGGATTTGTCACCCCCCCCCCCTTCATCTACTGCAGATGACCCTGGGCTGAATTGCAAGGGGCACCTATGTACTTCTATTTCCCAACTTCAACAGTAACTTTCTTAACCCTAATACTAGCCACAACTCCAAATCTAACCGCCAGAATTTGGCGCAAGGACATATGCAATGACAATAGGGATGGCTGGAGGGGACCCGGCTTGGCGCGTGCTCAAATTTCGCCCCCTTTCCTGGCCTGTCTGCATTAGAGTGGCTATCACTTGTAGGACTACTATGGCGTAACCTAAACGTCAAGCCAGAAGCTCAGTCTGCCAGTAATTCAACGACCTTCCCATCAACGATAGCTCGCAAAGCGAGACCGCCTCTAAGTGATCGTGCATAGACAACTCTAACTGGGCATCATAACTAGAGTTGTCCTGAAACCCGTTGCGGTTGGTGCGACTAGTGTGAATATTCCCAGCCCCAGACGAAGACTAGAAGGCAAACGAGGTAGCCCCCAGGTCCTAGTCAGACAGGCTTATCTAGAGTTGGGCGCTATTGGCTGCCGACGCAAACCAACAAGTCCGTTCCCCGATCTGCCCGTCCACCCCCTTTCGGATTGTAACCACATTGAGAAATCTGAAATTAGATTAGGAAGTTCGAGCATGCTGGACATGTGAATGGACAGACTGAATGTTCCCGATCACGGCCGATAAGGCGTTCACTGGCACCTCGCTGGCCATCGCGGTGCTGGATTTCGACAAAGCTAAATTCAGACCAATTACCCACCGGCATTGGTTTAACACACGCTGACCCGGAAACGACCACTCGATCCTCGGTCATCTTCCACTTGTCAATTGCTGTCTTCCCGCCTGGCCGCTTCTGACATACAGTAGGTGGGTAATTCATGAAATGTCGGCCGAAATTTCGAAATGCGTTCCCGTTTCGAAAAGATTAATTAAGTAGTTGTAAAACTAAGCATCATACAGCGTAATTCTATAATGATACAATTACCGCAGGATGCCGGCTTTAGAAAAGACTTTTATCCTGCTGCATGCAAGAACTATGCCCTGCAAAAAATGACTACTTAAGTAGCATGCAATTTCCCCATTGATTTTCGATGCCCTTGAAAATTCAATTACATTTCATGGAGAACATGCATAAAAGTATTCATTCTTTTGCTCATTCGGTAGAAAATGGCGTTTTTTTCCAAATTTATACTCAAAGAAGGGTATAATGCGGTTTTAAAAGTTTCCAATTGTGAGATTTTTTAATACCGTGAAATCGCCATTCATAAAACGTCATGTCTATGCATGTACTAATGTGGCTTGTAAAGATAACAATATGGCTTAAATCCACTGTTAAAGTTTATGAACCCCACATGGTCTTCTCCTAATACCACAGAGAAATGTATGGTTTTCCAGACGCAGAAAATATACGGCTTGTAGTTTGGGAACCCTGAATGTATGTGTAACGGCAGGTCGGGTTCAAAATTATTCGAGAATTGGGAAAGTTTTTGAAAATCGAATCATACCCTTCCTTTGGGTATAAAATTGGAATACGCAATTGTCTATTAAATGAGCAAGAGAATGAATATTGTATGCATGTTTTCCATGGAATATAATTGACTTTTAAGGGTATCAAAAATCAATGAGAAAACTGCATGCTGCATAAGTAGTCATGCTTTGCGAAGTATAATTTTTACACGCAGTCGGAAATGAGTTCCCTCGAAAGAAGGCACCCTGAGGTAACTGGATTATTTTAGAATTATGCTGCAACATGATTAGTTTTACAACTTTACTTAATTAATCTTTCCGAAACTGGAACGCATTCCGAGATTGCGGCTGACATTTCATTAGTTAGCCCACCTACCGTCGGTGTGTCCCTCCTAGCGCAAACGGGCAAGCCGTGGAGCATCACAGCTCATTTCCCAAACAATGCCAACATGCACTTCCCCGGCTGTCTCACATTTCCTCAACCTTCAAACGAAACTTGTGCCGTACTAGAGACCACCATGGATGTTAGCCCTCCGTTCCTGGCATGCAGTCAGACGAAGAACAGGTGATACAGCCGAACGAGGACACAGCAGTCGGAACATTTTCGGGTGTAGAGGTCCCCTGCGCAAAGACCAGAAAAACTGCTTTTATCTCGAATCGCCATCTTGGGTCAGACGACTTCTAAAAACCTCCTGTCTCCCCCTTTCCCTAGTATGCACCCGTAACGCCTCAAAGATCACACTGGGAGGTACAGGAGTCAGCCTTGATACGAACTGGTCCAGGGTGCAGACAATCCCGGCGCCCAGGGTGATGCTCCAAGGATTTTGTCAATCTTCAAAAATGTTTGTGAGCACGTGGCGAGAAATCAATCACTGCAGAAGTCCGCGTGCACCGGGCAGGCCAGGCAAGTACTTTACCTGACCCGTCGGGTCAGCACTTTAGGGTTCCAAGTGGTAAGTTAGGCGCAGAGAGGTGATCCTTGCAACCCTGAAGACGATCCTCCGAGCGAAGCACATGGACTATGTCAGACCCGACAGTCCGCAAGCGTTGCAACGACACTGCGAGGATGCCCCTAGTCACCCAAGAAAGATAACATAGTTCAGGAGAGCGCCACACCGTCGGTCCAGTGAATTCAGGGTTGATACTTTTGCATTGCCGTAGCCACGTCATAGACTATCAAAAAGTAGGCCTGGAACCTCACTGGAGTGAATCGAGCTTGCTGTTGCCGCAGATCGTTGCACGTGGAGCAACAATATGGGCAGCACCACTGAGACCAATCATACCAGCCATGGTGGCGCTCGTAGCAATCCCGAGCAATGTATCTGTTCAGTGCTGCTAAAGATCGGTTGATGTTGGCAGAACAGATGAGAAGCTCAGTTGGCGCCGAAAAACTTAAAAACTTCGCAGGGTCAAACTGTCCTCTCAGGAGTCAAGAAGGCTGTTAGCATCGGCTCCTCAAAAGTCCGCGAAAATGTCTACCGATAAAAAGGATTGGAATAACACACCCCGAATCCACGCCCCATATGCTAAGTACTTCATGAACGCCGATTCGTGCTCTGGATAAAATGGAAGTAGCGTTACCTCTTCCACTGCGAACGAGCACGATAAAAAGAACACGCAAGTCTAGATGACTCACAAGGAAACGGATGAGTAGGCTGCCGGGTTGGCAGACAAAACCACTTTGAGCGCAGAGATATAGAAGAAAGCCTTCGCGACTCCGCTCGTCCGAATTTTGTGAATGTTCACGCGAAAGAACAACGAGGATTGCAGCCGTCAAACAACGACCGTCTACAAGTGGGTGCGTACACCAATGGGGGTCATTTATTCATGTAGACACAATAACAAGGGGTCGATAAGATTTTTTATACAGTGCGGTGAAAAAGAGAAAACATAATAGAAAAAGTTGCAGAATACTGAAGTGTCGTGCGCAAAAACAGCCACACTTAGCAAAATCCGCTCTGGCTGTAAAGCGACGACAAGATGTAAAAATACAAAGTTGGAGTGCAAAGTGCGTGTGTGAGGAAAGGGAGCGGGGTGATTGTAGCATACATCGGGTCGTATGACTGTGGCACTGGCAGCCACCGTTGCTGATTCACCAGCAAACATGAGTGTGTGTATGTGTGAAAGAAGCGGTAACCTCTCCGTTCTGTGGCTAATTTCTTATTCGTCTCAAAGCGCTACGACTAGGAGAAAGACGGGGGATCGGCTGTCCAAACAATAAGCTCGTGGCCAGCTTTTTAAGACTCAAACACTGTGACAAGCGCACTCAAAAATTGACAGGGAGCATTTAAGACGACTCTCGAGACTGTTACGGATGTGAAAGGGAGGAACAAATGTAACTAAAAGTACAAAAAGAAAGACCAGATTTTCTCCGAAAGACGAAGCGTTTTGCAGGTGATTAAATGCAATGAAAATCGAGTAAAAAAATTCTGGATTAGAATGAGGACATTCTGACCGTAGCTCGGCGAACATCCAATCCCGATCAATAAGTAGATGCGGTGGCTAGAAGTAGCTAGGGTCAAGAGGATTATCGAGCATACTGGCACTCAGCCAAAATGACTAGGAGCATTCATAGATGCGAGACAAAAACGCGTGAGGGACTAGAGCGATACGGGGTCCAGAGAAATCTCAGTAAAAATGACGACAGGCGAAAAACCTAGAGAAGATCAGCGGATTTCCCCTCGCAGAAGATTGACTGAAGAAAGCCCAGATTTGGAGACGGCAAGTCTGGATAGGACTCCAAGTCCATCCATTCCTATGATAAAAGACATTGTTAGCAAAAAGAAGACAATCTTGCCTGCTCTGTGAACAGATCACAAAGTTCGGCTGTCAACTGATCCTCAAAATCGGGTCCGCTCTCTGATGACAACGGATTTTGTGATCTTGGATTAAGAGATGGCGCATGTGAAGCAATATGCTTTCGAAAGCACGTTAGTGAGACGTACATCCTCTGGCAATAGGGGCAGTTGTATGGCGGCAGTTTTGCGGCCTGATGGAAAATTGAAGCCACTTCGGACTGAGAGTAGTCCAGGATGTCTTTCGGACAATTTTTCACCCCACCGCCGCCGCCACCACCAGATGAACAAGAGGAGTCCGACTCTGTGCAACTGCTTCCTGGTGATTCAAAACAGCCAATAGTGATAAAGCCAATGGGCAAACCATTGCGTTTTCGGCTGGCTAGCTGCTTGTTTCTGTGTCCACAAGCATGACACACGGGACCCTCGACCTCAACAGAATCCTCGCTGGCTCCCAGATGGAAATCACTTTCAAACACCAGCGACGCACCACACATATTGCATAACTTTGAGCGATGTTCTAGGCAAAAGAATCATTAAAAGGTACGACAGCGGTCAGCTTACTTAAGTGTGTCTGGATATGTCCATTCAGTGAGTGACTGGAGGAGTAGGTCTTGTCACAGAACTTGCAAGGATACCTAGTTGTGACGGAATGTTTGCGTCTAATGTGACGCTTCAGGTAGGCTGGAAGAGCAAATGTCTGTCTACAGTAAAGACAGACAAAAGAACCCTTGCAGGTCTGCACATGGGCTGCAATCTCACTGACAGTAAAGCACTGGTCGCAGGTCTTGCATGAGGCAAACAGCGATTCCTCGTGTTCGTTGCCCACATGCCGCATGAAGTCTGAGTCGCTGTCGACGGAGAGCGAACAAAACGGACAAACAATCCTCCTCCCGTCTGAATCACCGGCGAGCGTGTCAGAAGAGTAAGCTGAGGTAGAGCGCATGGGGTTGCCAGCCTCGGTATCAGCCATAATTTTGAAAGACAACCTGGTGGAGGGGCAATCCTGAAAAGCAACAGACGAGGCGTGTAATATGGGAGCTAAGGCAGTAAGTATTGTGACACCGTGCAGCATTAATTTCTAATAAAAAGGAACCCAGCATACTGTTTCCCCAAATGAGTGCTACACGTGATGTCGACAGTCTTTCCAAATATATAGTAGAAAGAGCGTGCCCTGATGAAGCTAAAAGAAGTGCACGTTCTATTGTGTCCTGAGACTCCATCTAGAGCCCTCGCAGAGACCAGTAATATATTTGGAACGGGAGTACCTGAAATGGTCGTCACGGTCTCCCTCGTCTTCTTCGGTATTCCTTTCCCCATGATTACCATTTGCTATGTAATTGCCTACGTGGGCTTTAGGTTGAACTCCAAGGCGCAGGAGGGCGAGCACTTCTCCTTACTCCATCGGTGAACACCTGTGGCTCAACGGTTAGGACGTTAGACTCCTGACCAACAGAACGCGGGTCCGAACCTAAGGGGTTGTGAAAAACGGGATGGGCAAGAGCGGCTGATGGCGGCTAATACGCCAGAAACGAACATTCCAGTCGTCCTCGTCTTTGTCGACGATGCTATTCTGGATATACTACCAGCCACTGTGTAGCTCAAAATTGAGCCCCAAAGCTCATCGGAACGAGTAAATCCCGTAACGGCATCGGCGAGCGTCCTTCTACTATGTGCATATATCAAGTTTAACTTCGAAACCGGGGTTGACGGACAACTCCCATTTCTGGATGTCCTTGTAAGTCGACAAACCGATGGATCACTTCATACATCAGTTTATCGGAGAGGCATATTCAGAGGTCACCCTACACTTTGAGAGTAACCACCGTGTCTCCCACAAACGGAGTACAGTCTACAGTCTTCTGAATCGAGCCAGAACTCACTGCTCCGACGAAACAAGTTATCAGGCAGAAATGAAATACCTCTACAAACTATGCGCCTAAAATGGGCACCCACATGACTTTATACGTCAATGCATGAGACACCAGCAATCCTAGGGAAAAGGTACTTCCAGTGCTACGGCCGCTCGGGCAACAAAACCAACCACCTGACTAACTCTCCCAAATGTGAAAAATGTATCTAAACTAGTCAAAAGACAAATAAAAAAAACACTAGATACTCGTAGCACACCAGCCGACAACTACCTTGCGCGCACAGCCTGTACACCTTAAGGACAAGGTCGGCTACCTCGAAAGAAAAGGTGTCCACAAAATCCCATGTTCCAGTTGTGATGCCGTCTATTGTGGTCAAACTGGGAAAATCGTCTCAACCCGTACACATGAGCACAAGTTAACGGTGAATAGACGCGACCATCTGTCCCAGGTGGCCATGCACACACTGGGCATTGGACACAATTTTGCATGGGAGAACACTCGCATTTTTTGATGCCTGCGCAAAAAGAAAGGCTGCGAATTCCTGGAAACAATGCACTCAGATGAGGCATGCATCAACCGGCACATCGATCTAGATGTCACATAAAAAATCGTTAAAGACAAACTCCAAGTGGCATAACCAATCCCGAGAAGATGACAAATTGCAATCAGCACGCATTCGCTCAGACTTTGCCCAATCATGGGATCGTTTTCCAGACTCAGTTTAGAAGTTAGTTGTTTTTGCACTCCCATGGTCTGAAGACGAGCTAGGGAACTAGTCTCGAAAATTTACACAATAGAGTTTACTGTCTCCCAAAGAATTCCATCCTTCTAATATATAAATGGATATATTTAGTATGTGATGAAATTGTTTGGGAAAAAAATAACTTTCATTGTGTAAGTATTCGAGGCTAGTCCTCCGACTCGTCGTCGGACCACGGATGGTGTGCAAAAATAATTAACTAATTAACCGTGTCTGACAAAGGATCCTACGGCTGGCCGACGTCTGCGCCAATAAGCGTTAGGTGCATCTCGTCATCCTTTCGGGAGTGGATGAACTTGTGAGGATTTCGTAAGTGGAATCTAAATCGATATGCCGATTGATGTGTGACTCATCTGACGTTGATGAAACTCATGTAAACTCAGCAACTATGTAAAGTGGTGAGGATAAGCAGTAGGCCAGGCGATGTGGTTTATTAGGAACCGACCCTCAGACCGAATGCTGTGACAGGGGATCCGACAATGTAGTTACAACAAGTGCCACATGCATATTTGTTGCGTGATGGCGGGTATTATTCTCGGTAATGGAACATAAACTGAGCTACTGTCGCCGTACGTGGGTCGCCCGGTCAACTGAAGCCGGCTAGCTGCCACGAGTGGTCTGTTGAGGGAAGGAATTTCGAATACAATTGGCCTAGCGGGAAATCAAGACACCAGACGCAAATTCTGACCTTTTCCTCTAATAAAGCCATCTACGAGACTGAAGGCTGACATGGTGTCAACCCCTTTCTCTGAGTGGGTAAACCATGCACTATACAGTAACTCTTTGTGAAAATTGTTGTCACACTGATTTAGACGGCTTGAACGACAGACCATCCAGGTGGATAAGAACTCTTAAGCCCGTGTACGATAAGTCAGTAGACCAAGTTGAGGGTAAACGAGGCACCCGCCACGGGGACAATTTCTTTAGATGTAAAACATGGCATGTACGCTCACAATATAATACGTGCCTGAATGTAATGGGTCGTATCATTCTTCCTAACGGCTTCTGTGCTTTAAACGACCGTATAGTTATTCAGGAAGACAGTCAATCGCACCCCTACTAGTTGACTGAGATAGCTGGGTCATGTACTGCACTTGTCGGGAAATTCATCTCTACTGGGCCCAGCACTGGTTGGCGACGATATCAAGGTGACCAGCTGAGAACATGGTTGGCCTCGTTAAAAGTCTAATTAGAACGCAACCTTGTAATGCGGTTCTGGCATATCAACTGACCGAATTTGCTCGAGTGATGTTGAAGGCAGTAATCTGTGATGTGGACATGAGGCAGGTAAAAATCATAATTTTGCACTAGGTCGCAAGTACGAGCAGAAATTGGCCGGCTCCGGAGTTTACAACATCAAAGAAGTAGAGTTCATGTACTGTGATCGTTGGCTGGGCGCGTGAAGATTTTTGTCCATATGGCACCCCGTGCCCGGCCACCGAAGACAATCGGAGGCAGACTCTGCCGCATGGCTGGCCTAGAAAGATGCGTCGACGCGTTGTGAGGACGCGTGATGGTGAGGATCTAAGTTCAGAAGGATTCTGGGATGACATAGCGAAAGAGCTCCTCTTCAGCTTGCGGATGCGAGTGAACCATTTGCTAATGCATTAACTGCAAGTAGTTTCTTAGATTGGCGGTGGATTTCCACGTTCCAATGTGCAGTTGCAGCGAAATCGAGGATAGACTACAATCTCCAATATACAGGGAGTCTTCTTCATAAGATTTTTACGCTGGGTGAATATCTGGTTGAAACAACGCTTGGAGCACACGTACTCTTACTTGAATGGCCTCCTTCTTATGACCCAAAGTGAAGAACTTTAAGCAGTCACCGCTCATCGAACTGCAAAGTCTTGAAACCCCAGACAGATGTGTCACGATAGCCACACAATTAGGCGGGCGAATAAATTAACCTAAGGGAGAGAAAGAATAAAACCTAACGCGTCCCTTAAGCTTAAATCGAAACTTGTCCAGGTGGGTCGAGTTTAAAGCACTATATACTAACAGACCAACACCAACAAGGGTGATTCATCCACAGTCAAATTTCCGCCAAGAAAAATAATTATTCTTTCTACTCATACTCCAGAAAAATCGGTAAACTACGAAGATTAAAAAAGGTGGCAACCCTCTGATGCTATCACACTGGAAAATTATCACTTCATATTTTGCCGCTAAGTAGCTTTGGGACTGTTGTGCAAATGGCTGTTTTGCGTGACTCCTTGGTGGGAAGAAACCAGCCGACTCACGCTCGTCATGTCACATACATCTTTGGGCGTCGCAAGTTTCACGGATTCATGTACACACCGATTGTTCGAAGTGTACAGGGCGCATTGGGTGTAGGCGAACTGCACGTGTATTGTACGGTCTCATAACTAAACCTGGCCAACAGAATAGGCTGCTGAGTCCTTTGGATATCCGCATTGCTCGCATGAGAACCACTTGGGAAAATTCATCGTGCCAGCAAAACAGAGCGACTAGCACGGGTTGTACTTAATAACCTAGTCACTTGACTAGCAAAATGCTAACCACTAAGTATCATGCTGCTATTTCACGGTCAATCATTTACTGTGCTATCGGGACGCATAATTTAACTCCAAAATTATCTGATACGACGGATACAAGTTCAGGCAGTGTATGAGTATATAATCCAAGCGGGTAAAAGATTATTGAAATTGAACTCGAGAATACTATATAAACCAAGAAAGTAGTGTCCTACCGTTATGTACGGAGCCAGGAGAGGGCCCCAACCGTCACAAAGCGGGTTTTTTGAAATTCGAAAACGGCGCTGCGAAAAATAACCCCATTTAAACAATTAAATAAATCAATGGAGTTGAGGCAAGGCTATTCACTAATTAGCTTTAAACTTACAGAAGATTGGTTTGCAAATGTTTGCATATAAGCGGAACTTAAAAAAGGCTCCGAAGTACACAGGTGCGTTTTCGTAGGAAAGAGATTCAAAAACCGGAGGTGGATTTTTCGTAGATGACACTCTATAATATGACGGTTATACAACTAATATGGTTGATACAACCTAAGGCAGCAGGATACGCCTCTTCCAAGACGCATGAAAGTTTGCATTCAGTCTTCGCACAAGTGAAATTTAAAGAAATTTAAAACGGGGACGAAAGTGGTCGTGGCGATAAGCAGAGCACAGCTAAAGATGGAGAATAAGCAAAAAGTGTTGTAGACAAGGCCAACAGGCAAGAACCTTAAAGATCTAGATTGCTCATTAGAATGTGCAATGAAAGGGATTTATAAGCAACTGAACCACAACGAACAATAATAACACTGGTAAATCGCACCCACGTTAAAGTACTAAAGATATTTTGCAATGCCAGGAAGATGGACGAACGTGTTTCTCTTCCCACAGTCGTGCAAAAACATCAGTACGCAGGACGCTCCATACAACATTTTTGGAGGAGGCGTTATTGGATTCAAAAGACTGGAGACATCCTGGAAGCCATTTCTAGTCGGCGGCTCTCCCTCCACTCTTTTGCCCCGAACTCTACTGGAAACCAGGGCGTTTCCTTAATATTCCCTGGTCGTTCTCCTGCTGTCTCACTCTGATACCCGTCCATGGCTCGTTATTTTAAAATATGCCTTCAATCTGAGATTTGCAACTATTATATCTGAAATATTATTTACGGGCTGCAGAAACTCCGCCGTTTTATGCCGATCACTACTACTTTACGTCACGCGTCCGCCATACAACTTGCATTGTTGCTATGATTTGGTATACAAAGAGAGGTTTGCAGAGCCTTGGAGAATCCTATTTACTGATACAGGAGTGGAAAACAGAATCATGCTTGCGCATAAGTGGAAGGATATTGATGTCGTTTAATCATGCGGTCAACCAGATAAACTCCCAGGAAAAACCAGAAAAACTCCCACAAATGTTGGGTGCTGAGTCCACTGATCGACCATACCGCAGCGATGGCGCTTGTGGTCTCTGATCACTATGGCCAGCCTAACCAGGGACAATTTCATCGGCTAACAGAGACAGCTGTTCTTTGGCGCTTCTCTTTGGACCAGCCCCAATTTCCTGAAAAGAATGAGGGACTGATAATATCTGATACCGTGCAACCCCTCCCTTCTTGACTGTCGGCAGTTTGCGGTTAGCAGTTTTCTTTTCTCCTGGACTCTCCAAACCATAAAAATCACCATCAACTTCATGGTTATGCTATTTTGACAGGAGTTTTTTCACTACTGGCCGGATTCGTTTTTAACGCTCCCCTGACAATGCCGGTAAAATGGCATTAAATTAAATTATTATTATTATTAGAAATGTTTATCCAGTCGTTTTTTTTTAAATTTTTCGACGTTTACCGCCAAGACAACCCAGTTCGTTAGTATATTCTAAGATTCAGTAGTCTGGTGAGAGAAGAAACTGGTCCGTATTTCAAGGTTGGCGTAGCTTCTCTTCAGCTGTGCTTTGACGACCTTGAATAACACAATTATTTCCCCCTTTAAGGCATTTTCAGGTTCTTATAAAGAATGCATTTCACCCCGCTGACTAATTTGGTCGCTCTTTCTTGTGCGTCCACCGAGGCTATTTTATTTTTCCATCAATTGCGTCATGCCCAAAGGCAGTATTCCAAGATCGGCCGAACACGTTTTCCAGACACTCCACCAAGAAGCTCTTTGCAAATATTGAGCTTCGGCCTTCTGAAAGCACCGAGAATGCCCACGTTCTCTTTGATATTCTGGCACAGTGTGAAGATAAGTAAATGCCAAAGAATAGATTAATTGTTTTAATTAGCACCCATAAGTGAGCATTCGTGGGGAGAAAAAACACATTTTCGAGTGCATTTTACAACGAGTACAGGATTTGGTTTGGGTTTATAAAATAAGCATTCTCATATGAAGAACGGTCGGCGATCAGTGAACAAAAGAGTCTTTTAAATTCGGTTGAAAACACCAAATGAATGTGTTTTGATTAGTTTTTAAGGATAAAAAACAGTCGCTCATTGGGAGTTAAATATGCATATGAGACAGGATCCCCCTAAAATTGAGAATATATAAGGAACCCGCACGCTCCTCGTCAAGGTAGAATTCTTAAGGTGGATGAGGTTTCTAGCTGCAGATACGATCGTAATATTTTTTTGGATGACAGCGGAAGCAATCGTTAAGCTAGAAAAACAGGAGGAACCCTCTATGGTCGGTCACAGTCCGCTCAGAATCCAAGCGAGGAGGTGATTTTGAAGTCTGTAAGGATCAGAAAATGAGGGATAGATGCAGCCATGACACTTCTTTGCTGAACGACCAAACTCTTGGCCGATGATGAAAACAGAGCAAGCAGTCGTGTCCGCTAATAGATCCCTCGAGGCTGAAACGAGGAGCTTACATTAACGTCCGTGAAAATCTTTGCTACAAGGAAGGAGTAAGAGCAGTGGATTTGCCAGTCAATAAAAAATGGGGAATTGTAAAACTCTAGTGAAGAGTTTCCATTTGAACAAGCAGGGCATGTGTTATTAGCCACAGAATCTTAGGAAAACCATTCTCAAAGTACAGAGTCCAATTTTTATGAACGAAACGTTTCCGGGGTAAGGCGTTTGCAATATTTCTATTTGAATACCGATAGCCTGTACAATGGCCTAAGTTCTAGTTGAATATCATTCCAAGGGAAATATATTTGGATGCAAAGAGAGAGAATATAGAAGTTGAGCAAAGAGGCGCCTAAGTAACCTTGGAGAAACTGCACGCGGCATGAGACCAGTCTATCGGAGTGAGGATGGCCCATGCGCGGAAGAATAGAGCTAGAATCAATGCGAAAGGGAAGCAAAGGCCCGCTTCGAGTCTTCTAATAAATGAAAACGTAATGTTTTCCATTTAAAATTTCTCACTATAATAAATTCGGGCTCCAGATTAAAAGGAGAGTTTTCGAGCAAGAACCCTGAAGATTTTACATTGCGCTACGGACGCAAACATTCATTAAACCGAAGAAAGGACAGAATTATCCGACGACGGGAAGAAAAAACATTTGACAAAGCATTGTTTTTTTTCCGGAAATAAAATATCATGTGATACGAGCCCACATATCTAAGAAGCTTTCGCAGAGACCATCTGTGCGAGATGATACAGTGAGCTTTTTGTAAACTTTAACCTAGGTACTTTATGGTGAATCAAGATAAGCGTGGGTTATTCTGAAAAATCATGGGACCAGAGAGCTTGACAGGTCGAAAGACATGTACACACATTTGGACTTTATAAACTCCATCTGTCTTGGTGAATTTCATTTCGATTGGCGTAGTAAATCGACATCAGTTTTTTTGACGCAGACATTTCCGGTGCCCTTAAAATTTGAGTAAATTCACTTGAGGTCATCACCATAAATATATGTTTGCGAAGTTCTGAGATCAGTCGAAATATCACTGATGTATTATTCACATTCTTATAAGCGAACTGTAAAATGTTGGTGAGAAGAAGGGTTCCTTGTCGTTGGGGATTTTAGCGCTCGTGATATTGACTGACAAGCATGGACTACGCGGTGGTTGCAAGATGACCTTAATCAGCAGCTACTACAATGGATAACGGCAGAACTTCTCCGTCAGAAAGATACCTTTGAAATGCGGGCCACGGAAGGACAACAGTCGATCTGCTTTGATATTAAATTTGCCCGAGAGGACATTGTGCAAGACCTGCAGGGACGACTGCCAGTAGGATCAAACGACCACATTACGCTGTACTTTGAGCATTCATTCTTTTTCAGACTAACTGTGCCTGATATGAAGGATAGAACGTTTGGAAGGGAATGTGCCCCGTCGGCGGTCTTGTCAAAGCCTTCTATATTCGCCATATACTAGTAGTCTGGTCGCATCTCCCTTCCCCATGTTCAGATGGACTCGGTTGAATGAAACCGACCGCATCTGGGTTCCTATCGCCTCGAGACTGGTTTTCGATTTCGCCACTCATTTTTCTTATTCAAGGCGATACAGGCCAGTCCTGACCAACCCGCCTACGTACCATTTTATGAAATCCGTTACACAATGCCATATATAGCTGACATTTATTTCGGCCATGTTGATGTCGGACTATATTCCATTCTGTACCACCACATGCAGGCCAGTCCTCCCTGTATTTTTCTGATGCTATTTTTCCGAGGGTTTTTTTTTCTCCTGTTAAATTACTACAATCATTTTTAAATTTTGCTTTGGATTTTTTTTTCACCCCTCGTTTTTTTTCATTTTCATTTTGCTTAACGGACTTCTAATCTCAAAAAGTATGTATTGCACTTTGTACAGATTTTGCCTACCTCGTCTAAAATTCGCATGTAAATTTATTTTTACTTGCTTTGATGGGATCCCAACGGGTCTTTAATAAACAAAATAATTGAAAATATTCACTCATAAGGAGAGAAGTGTCAGCCGTATTATGGGTGAAAGAACTGTACGGTAGAGCAAATTAAAATTAGAAGACCTTCAGTTCCTTACTAAAAGGGACTATTTATCCCAGCTGTGGTCCCAGAAGAAAGACAATTTTAACCCGCCCTTAGTAGACAAACTCATACTCGCAGGCCTCTTTCAAAAAGAGACTGCTTTTAGAGGGGTTTCAGACTAACTGGCTCCAAAGAGCACTTACGGGAATATAAACAACAAAGCAAAATTTGCGAAAGTGAGGTTTCCCAGCTACAAAGCCAGTTCGAACTGAACATCCTGCAGAATTCGTTGGAACACTCCAAAATTCTTGACGGCTGTAAACGGAACACTAAAAGGACCCAGGAACTGATCGTCGATCTTAGATCTGCAGACTGCAAACTGGAGACTGACGACCAGGTTAAAGCGTCCTTCCTTTCTTAGTTATTTCAGTTCGTCTTCATTCGAGGACCTAACTCTTCATTCGATCGAATGCTTGTTCCCCAAACAACGTCTCCCCCTACTCCTCCCCCTCTTCCTCCT